TTTTGCCCCGGCCGGGTTATGAAAACCAATTAATTAATTTTGCATGGCCTAACCTATTTAGAGTTTCAACCTTATTGGTTAAATCATCGTTTTCTTACAACTTCCCAAAATTCTTTAGCAAAAGGTTTCTTTTTAAATTTTAAAAAAAACTTTACAGCATTTTTAATTTCAGTTAAATTTGTAACAAGAATATTTTGTATTGATTTCAAGTGTTTTTGAGATTTGTTTGACATTTCTTTAGATGTTAAATAAAAGCCCACAGTAGTTTCTGGAGGAAATTGAGACTGTTCTAAACATAATTTGGTGCTTAGAAATCATGAAAATATGCAACACTATCTTAATAATAATAAAGAAAATTCAGTATATATAGAATCCATACCAAATTTCTTTTGGAACTTTAAGTAAGATAAAAATTTTACATTTAAATATTTCAAGAAAGTATATTTGTAAATGTCTTTAGTTGACCAATAGTAACTTCATTGTTTTCGTCATTTACATCATGGCAATAAATCAAAATTATGTGATTTTGATAAAGGCCGAGTAAATATAAAACTTCATTTTCAGAGCTACAAAAAAAAAAGAAAATACTGTAAATTCATATCCTATTCACCACAGGCTTCGAGCTTTTCGGATTAAACAAGAGAGAAGAACGTTCATAGATATTCTATGACTCTGTTGCAAAACCCTAGTGGCAGCGTAACTTCAGATATTCACTTAGTGATTCTCACCTTACAAAATAGATTTCAATCTCAATGGCTTTCATCAGGTCACGAACATGGTTCAAAATGTTTTGTTGGTTGCTGATTAACATAACGTTAAAAATTAATAAAGTTAAAAACAAAAAACATATCGATACTTCAGTACTTATCAGTAAATTTTTTTCTCACGCTTTTCAGGGGTAAAAAAAAAATTTACTTTTCGCAATTACTCACGCAATTTCAAAAAGAAGTAGTTTACAACGTGTCTGTCTATCACACAGATCAGTATCATAACACAAAGAACAGGCAACCTAATAAAAAAAATTATTTAAATATCAGGTTCCTGACCCAACGGTTCCCGTTTCCTAGTATAGAGTTACTAGTTTCGTTCTGTGCTTTACACATGTGTTATACAGTAAGAATCTTTTGTTTGTTATACTGTATATCGATAAAAAATATTTATACAAATTGCTGATACAGAATTTTACAATACAAATTCTACAGAATACGTAACAACTCTAATATTTCAATTTCAATCAGCTTGTATATTATAGTAATCTTTATCTTATCGATTATCTATTTGTGTATCAAAAACTTTATTCATATTTTTATTGTTTACTTTCCTGAAATTTCTATTCTAAATGATATCACCTGCCCGGAAAATTACAAATTATACTTAATTCTGAATTGAATGCTGATTTGTTATCAATTGGTCGTTTAAACTGTTAACCGAATGTCGGTCAAGCAATCGGTCATAAGTAGTGTTTAAATAAAAAAATTTTATCAAATTTGATTAGATATTTGTAAAATTTTTAAAAAAAAGGAGTGCTTATATTTACAATAGTATAAAGTAGTTTTGGATTTTTTATACTGTATTTAATGTGAGAAAATAAGATACGTATATCTAAAGCCAATACTTTTAAACTACGTAATATAGTAGTACATTTTTAGTATGTTGAATGGAAACTCACTATTACACCCATCACGTGATTACGGTTAGAAAACATATCGATATATAACCAGTAAATGTTAAATAACCAACATAAATTACAAATGGCATCATACGAGAAAGAATATTATCACAGAGAAACTGATAGATCTAATCATAGGGAATCTGAACCCAGAAGACGGCATTATAATAGTGTAGACCGCAAAGAGGAATGGGGAAAAGGAAGAAGTTACCATAACAGCGAGTCTTTATTTGAACAGTAATTATTGCAAGCTCCTCCATTTTTTTCATACTTCAGTAACGATTAGCAAAGAAGGTTTATATGTTTCTTTTGATTTTTAGGCGAAAACGAACGCGCAAAGAAAGTACTTTTTCTATCTGGCCACTATCTCCTGAATATCAAAGCAGATTAGGACGGTAAGTTTCCATAAATGTACTCGGAACAAGTCATAAATATACATTTATAATATATATTTATAGCTAGAATTTGAGATTTAGATTTGTTATTATAGACGCATCTTGATATAGGCTCTCTTCATTTATCGAAGTGGAAATTTATCTATCATATTTTATTTATTTTTTAATCATTTAATTAGTTCTTTATCTCCAGAAAGGCCTCATTCTTCCAAAAAGAAACGCTCACATAGTATCAGTGATTCTGAGGCTTCATCTGACTTATCAGATCATGAAAGTGTGTATCAGTCATTTATTTTGAATGTATAATCTATAACTTCTATCGTTAATCTCAAATATCATAAAAAAAAAGAGAGAAAAAAAAAAAAATCGAAATCAAAAAAGCATCGATCTTCGAAAAAACATAAGAAATCATCTAAATCTCGCAAAAAACGTGAACGTTCTGTCAGTTTAAGTGCAGATTCTTCTGCCAGCGAAAACGATTCTTCGAGTGAGATTAAGAATAAAAGTCGTAGGAAATCTAATGAACTTATAGAAATTGATGAAAAAGATATAGAAAAATTAAATGATCTTTGGGTTGAAAAAAAAGGTATATCATTCATTTATTTCTCGGTTATTGCTTCGAAAATGTGTACTTTAGCTTGATAGCTTTGATTTCATCCGTAATTGTTGATTTTTTTACAGTTGAATTACCTGAAGATTTGTTGAATGTAGGCCCTATGCCTATATCAGTAACTGACACAAAATTGGGTGAGCGAGAGTAAGTTACAAAGACTATTCATTAATTATAAACTTATTCAATATTCGATAGTAACCTTTATTTAACGATGTTTAGCTATGGTGGTGCTTTGTTAGCGGGTGAAGGTTCAGCTATGGCTGCATATGTCCAGGAAGGCAAACGTATTCCACGTCGTGGTGAAATAGGCCTTACAAGTAATGAAATTCAATCATTTGAAGATGTTGGTTATGTCATGAGTGGTAGTCGGTACGTTATAATTGTATTTTTTTTTCATTCGTTCGATAAAATATTCAGTAATTCATATTAATATAAATTTAATCAGACATCGACGTATGAACGCTGTACGTATTCGTAAAGAAAACCAGGTTATTTCTGCAGAAGAGAAACGTGCTTTATTGTTATTCAAGTATGCTGTTTATTTATTATTGTATATGCGTATATTAGGATAATGACTAATATAAAATTAATGCAGTCAAGAAGAGAAAGCAAAGAAAGAGAACAAGATTATATCAGATTTCAGAGAATTAGTTGCAGAACAAATGAGAGGAAAGCAATAATTAATGTTAAAGTCATTTACATTATTTCTATTATAATAAAAGTGAAAATACTCTTCGTCCGGAATTTTGTAAATCGATTACAAGCAAGTTAGTCGATTAAAATTTATGTAATTCATCGTTTGGTGATATTGATAATCGATTTAAATCAAAGATGATTAAATTAAACAATCAACTTGTTGATTTTAGTAGGAACGTTACATGTAGTATTTACCAATTTTCGATTCAGAGATTAGTTGTAACGTGAAAATGAAAAAATCGGGAGTGAATAATCAATTTAGTTGATATGTACAAAAATTAATTATTATTAGTATTTACAGTGAATAAGTTAATATGTTTGCATTAATTTAGAAGGGTTTCGCATCTAAAACTTTAAAAAAATTTTTCAGACAAAAAAAAAAGTAATATTTATTTCAAGTGATATAATTTGCGATTTACAATATGCTGTATTAGCCAAGAGACATTTTTATACTGTATATTTGCAAAACTTTAGTTTTTATTAATTTTAATTTTTTATAAATATCTAATCTAACTTCTGTATATCTTATATTTATTCTAAATTCTAATAAACATTATTATTATTATAAAGAGATCTCTCTAAATGCACCCCTCGGGACTATAGTAAAAAATTTCAAAAATGTGCACTTAGAGAGGGCATGCATTTATAGAGAGCAAAATATATAGTGCTATTACAGTATAAGCTAGGACTAGACTATACTGTGTATTTAAAGAGATTTTATATAGAGGGTGCATTTATAGAGAGTGCATTTAGAGAGATCTCTCTGTATTATTTAAACCAACATCAATATATATAACTTCTGCATGTAATTTATATATATTTGTATTTGTACAAATTAAATTCACTATATAGCTTTTTATATAAATTATCTAATAAAGATATGAGTAAAACCTCACCTTAAAAAATAAAAAAAATCAAAAAATCAATATATATATAACTTTTTTTGCTTGAGGAGTAAATTCTGTTAGTATTACTTTTTAGGTATAATTTAACAACTCTTTTTAGAAAACAAAACAAAGCTAATAATAAAGTTTTATTGTAAAGTAGAAAATTTCTAATTGGTTAACCAAATTAACTTATTTAAATACAATTGGTTTAACTATATTGTTTTGATTAGATTAATTGATTTGAGTTAACCGAATTAGCTAAGTTAACTGAATTAATTAGGTTAACTGACTAACTAAATTAATTAAATTAGCTGAGACAACCAAATTAATCAGATTAGTTAAGTTATTCAGATCAACCAATTAACCAAGTTAATCAGATTAACTAAATTCATCAGATTAGCTAAATAATCTATATATATCAAATATTACAAATACAAACAAGCTACAAAAATTAGATTTCTGAGTTAACTGATTATATTAAATCAACTAGATTAACTAATTATATTAGGCAATCAGATCAACTAATTATATCAAGCTAATCAGATTAACTAATTATATCAAGTTAACTAATTATATTAAATCAACTAATTAATTAACTATGTAGTTAAGTAACCAGATTATTTAAAAATTTTTAGTTTGGTTTAGTTATCTAAAAATATTAATTTTAAATATTTATATTTTTCTATTTAAAATAGAGTTTTTTTTAATATTTTAATAGGATGTTTTATAGAATAGATAGGCAAACTTCACAAGCTCTGCAACTTTACTAAATATCTATTAATGATTACTAATTATTAGCAAAGTTTATTTTTTATATTGCCCACCTATTCTATAGAACATTCTGTATTTTTTTTAAAGTTTTTTCTGGTACACAGATTAAAAAAAAATAAAAAAAAATAAATTAGTATAATTACTAATTGTAAAAAATTATTTAAATTGATACAAATAGGTATACTAATTGCAATCTGATTATATACTAGTTGGATACTATTTGTTGATTTGTTTATTTGCCGATTTCGGACAGATTTTGGCAAAAATTGGCATAAAATTAGTATAAATTGGTATAAAATAGTATACTATAATTGATTTTGATTTGACAATTATAATATTATTAATTTTGATTTGACAATCTTAATATTAACTTAATAAATTAGCTAAAATAGTACTGTAATAATATTTTATTAATAAAAATAGAAGAAAAATAAATATATATGCTAGTCTAATGTAGATTTTGGTGCTAAACAAGTTTACTTAGAGCTTAAAGTTATAATCTATTAATAAAATTTTAAGAGATGCAGAATCTTCTATATTTTTATTAATAAAAATACAGAAACTTTTGCACCTATCAAAATTTTATTAATAAATTGTACCTTTGAGCTCTAAGTAAACTTGTTTAGCACCAATATCTATATTAGACTAGCATATATTTTTCTTATTTTTTTCAATTTTACAAAGAAGATTTTTTTTTATTTTTATTTTTTTATAATTCGGCAGTCTTGCCTTCACTTTATTAGGCTTTGTAATAATTATTTAAACTATTAAAATTTTCTGG